GAAATACTGAATTCGTCTATAGACGGTTCAGTTTAAGCTGACTCGGGCACTGTCAGCTGTAGCTACACTCGTGTAGCTACAAACAGGGACGTACAGGCGGTCAGGCACGGCACAGCTGGGCTGGATGGTAGGCAGCCGGCAGAGCTCGGCAGCGCTCGGCAGCGAGGAGCGTGGCCTACCCGTGGACAGGCAGGCTACAGCACAATTGGGTTCCTATAATCCTGAAGAGTGTGACGACAAGACGGCCACCTACGGTAGGCAACCGCCGTGTTTGACAGCGAAGCACATGGCATCCCTGTTGGCCGGCAGGCGCTCCGGCACTGCACAATTGGATGCCTACAATCTACAATCCTCACGAGTGTGAGGGTACCAAAGCTTCGACCACAGCCGCCTTGGCGGTAGGCAGCCACTGCGCTCAGCAGCGAGGCACCTGGCCTACCCGTGGGCCGGCAGGCGCTCGGGCGCAGTCAGGCACGACTCACGCTAGCGCTGAGTGGGTGAGGTGAGAACTCTCAGCAGAACAAGCGCACTGGACGTGAGGGCGGCGCCGACCCTGGCCCTGGCCTCCAGCTTGCCTCCGGCGTCGCGCCGTTCAGTTCAGTTGACCTGGAGCCCTACTTGAGTAGGTTCCCGCATGGGCCTGAGGCCGCCCGGCACCGCCCCGCATGACTCAACTCATAACTGTACTACGGCCTGTCTCTCTCTCTCTCTCCCTCCCTCCGGATCGGTTTCACCGGTCGCTCTCTCCTCTCTCCTCGCCGCCGCGCTGCGCCCCACCGTCTCCTCCTGATGCCCTCCGTGTTCATCGCTCGCCGGCTGATCCGATAGCGCTCCGCAGGGCCGGACCGGCGTCACTGACGTCACGGCGCTCACCTCGGCGGCGCGGCCGGGACACTCACCAGCATCCACAATTATTAACAATTATTCAGACGATGACGATGATGGGAATGACTCGCCTAGCCATGGCTTGTTTTTAGGGTCTATCTTCTTCAGAGATTTACCACCGGATGACCAAGTGCGGCGCCTCTGCTGCCACCTCCGAGGGTGACGGGATGGTTTCCGGTGCCACTGTTGTCTCACCACGATGGTCTCACCCCAACACGTCTGCTGCCAAGAGCCCCGCCAGCATCAGGCCAGCTGCTTTCGCGACGTCTCCGAAACTGCAAAACACGTCCGCGTACCTCGCCGAGCTGCCCGTCGGGAGTGGCGAGTGGCCTGCCGTTCATTTGCCACTTTTTCAAGTCGAAAGGCTGCCTTCGTCAATATTTGTTATACACACACGCACTGACGCGCACGTCGTCATACACATTTAAAATAGACAAAAACCCGTTAACGCTCACGTGAAAGCAGATGACCTTATACAGGGTGGTCCATAGACCCCTTCCTTTATTTTGCTTATGCTGTACCGCATGCAGGCGTGCGGACGGGCTTGCCTACCGTCGCTCCGCACGGCCCCTTGGGGCCCCGTGTGAGTATGCAACCCGCCCGCACGCCTGCATGCGGTACAGTATAAGCAAAATATAGAAAGGAGTCTATGGACCACCCTGTATGTAGGGCGTTTTACAAATTTTAGATTCAAAACCAAAGGCGTGAGACTTTGAAACACGTCCCTGTCTGTGGCCACAAATCCGGCGGCCTGAGTCAGCGTAATCTGACCAGACTATAGAAGATCCCTTTGCGGCATTTTATGATGTTCGATCCCCGACCCCCACCCCCAGCAACACGACCCCTTTGGGAGCAACACAGTTGTAGCTACAACCGAGACGGCCGCATGCAGCTTCATCCGAACCCAAACTGTCGGCCCTGAGATCAACTCCCGAGCGGGGCAAATATTTTCTTTGTCGCTTTTTGTGGTCCTCACACCGCCGGCCTAGGGCCTAGGGATCGAATCCCGTCCGCGGAAATTTTGTCCCACCCCGCTGGCTATCTCTTTGGGCGTCAACGGTAGCTGAGCGATGGGGGAATGTCGCCGGAACAGGCGTCGCTATCGTGTTGTTGTTTTTCTTGTTGGGGTACCTTCTTGAGTTCCCTCCGCGCGGCCAGCCTCCCACTCGGCATCAGTGTACGATGGTTTGCCTAACGGCCTAACACCAAGGAGTTCCAGTGGCAGCGGTGCCCGGTGCCGGACGAGTGACTTGCCCTGCTCGCGCCTCAAGGATAACTACTATCCCCCCCCCCCTCTTCTTCCCCCATCCCGGCCGCGCCCGACTGATCAGACAACAACAGAGAAGACTGTCCACCAGTGGATCGGGCAGGTGTCGAGCGCCCCTACGTCCCCTGCCTGCGCTGCGCGAGCGAGCCCGCCAAGCGCGCCCCGCAGTCCACACAATAGCATCGCGCCAGTCGCAGAGAGGGAGCGGCGGTGCGCACGTCGCCCCGCCCTGCTACACACTTTCTCTGACGCGCCCCGCTGCCTGCGGCAGCGCTCGCAGCCATGGTAAGCTTACACTTTGATCCAAGGGTCAAGATGTCTCTGCATGCGGAAGCGTGGGTGGCCGCGTCGCAGATCCTCAGTGTCCGAGTAAGGCTACCTCGTAGTCAAGCGAAGGACATCCTGTGTGATGTAGTGTTTTCCCGCTGGCCTTCCCCCCGCCACATCTTTGCAATGCCCCCTCTCGTACATTTCCAGGCAGATATGTATTGTCCATAAGGCTTTGACTGTGGGATCTCATAAAAAAAAATAGAATTCTATCCGAATGGTTTTTAGTGGGAGTACGCAGACGATGTGCCAGCATGTCACGAGAACGAGTAAATTGTAACTCCTTTTTCTGCCTGCAGCGGGATGAACAAGTGTTATGTAAGCAGGGGGGAATTTGGTACACTGATGTTTCACAAAGGACAGTAACGCATCATTTCCAATCATTGCTGAGTTACTGTACCATTGCACTTATCCACCGAGGACATATTCAGGTTTTGGAGGGGGGGGGGGAATTCCATTAAGGCATGACAAATGCGTGACGCAACCAGTCCGTCAGGTCGTGGTCCAGTGCATTATACGGCTGCGCGGGAAAATGGGAATGGAAGAAAGGTTACAACGAGAGGCTGCAGGTTACAACAAAAGCTGGGCGAAAATTTCTGGGGGTTAGATCTGTGTCTTGACGAATGTTCCTCTGTTTCAGTGGCTGAAAGTTTTAGGGCTCCTGGTTGTGGTGGGAGTTGGAGAGTTTGGAAAAGTCGTTCGAGTACCATTCAAAACCTGCTATGTCGACCATGATAACCCAGAATCCATTTACAATTTTACGATGACCGATCTTTGGGGCCAACGTAATATCAGCCTTTCTGACTACAAAGGAAAGGTATGGATTTCTGAAACAAAAGACATCCCTGGATTGAGTCCAAAACACCACCTACTAACACCACCTCTTCCAGGTTGTCCTCATCACCAATGTAGCAACCTACTGAGGTCTGACCCATCACTACCATGGTCTGAATGCACTGAACTCAAAGTTCAGAGACCTGGTAGTGCTTGGGTTTCCCTGTAATCAGTTTGGAGAGGTAAGCTTCCATGTTTAAAATGGGAGAGGAAAACATGTGTTAAATACTTTGTACCAAACTATTATAATTGCTTTGTTTGATTGCAGCAAGAGCAAGGTGCTAATGCCACTGAAATTTGGAATGGGATCAAATATGTAAGACCCGGCCATGGCTTTGAGCCAAATTTCCAGCTATTTTCAAAAATTGAAGCCAATGGAGAAACTGAAGCACCTCTTTATACATATTTGAAGGTGCTAAAAAAAATCTTGGTAGAAAAAAGAAGTTAAATCATTGAACGTTGCTTAATGATTATTGTTGGTTGTTACAGAAAATGTGCCCTTCCACAAGAGACGGCCATGGAGAAACTAAGAATCTTCATTATTTCCCACTGAAGAGTACAGATCTGCGGTGGAACTTTGAGAAGTTCTTAATTGATCGGTCAGGAAGACCATGGCGAAGATTTGACCCCACCTTTAACCCAATGGACATGATCAGCCATGTTGAAGAGCTCATAGCAGCACCACCAATAGCTCCTGGGCGACGTGCATTAACTGACTGTACTTTTTAACACTAGAGGATGAACTATCAGAACCAAAAGTCCCATTTTATTCTCACAATTATTGCTTGATTTGTTTGAAAACAAAGATGCTTTGCTCTGTAATGTAAATTACCCAATGAAGCTACAACCATAAACCTAACAGGTGGGTTGTGACAGATGTGTCAAGCTTGTGATGTCTAATGCATTCGGGTATCATAGGTGTAGACAAGTAGTTTGCATTTTAGGGATTGGCATCATTGATTCAAATAATATGCATGCAATGGTTTTATTTTATTTAAAATTTGACAAATAAATTACTTTTATATTACGACTTATTAGTTAAAAGGCACACAATGTAAAACTGATCAGTTGGTGGAATTAAAAGTGATGGGTTAATGATTTGAGTTAATATGGAATAAACACCCTTTTCATCAACTTACTGGACAAAAGTGACTGTGGTTCGGGCTTGATTCAACTGCCACACATTCAACTCTTCATACTCATCAATACATTCCATAACTTGGTCCTGATTGTAGCCCTTACTTATGCAACGCTCCATAATGTCATCCATACGAACACTGCGAAGTCCACCATCATTCATTTCCCGGATGAGATTATATATTTTATCGACCACACTGACAGTCCTACAGAAAACAAAGACATACTTCAACATTAAGAAGACAGGACAGCAAAATGTTCAGATAAGGGAAGTCATACACTTACTTTTGTCTGGTCTCTTCAGTGTGGTTGAGGGAATCCTTAGACATATCAACTAGCCGGATAGCTTCATTGACATCATCTTTCACAACTACATCAGCCAGTCTTAGTCTAGCCTAAAATAGCACAAATGTAATTTTTTTCTTTTAGAAAATGTGCATGTCTTAGTGATGAAATGAAATCATAGGTCTTAATGTTTTGAAACTTACCAAAGCAGTGGAAAGACGAAGAATAGCCAACAAGTTTCTGGCAGAGGTAAACGTAACATCTTTGCTATTACGAGCTTCTTTACGCATCTCAACGTAGGACCCTGAGAAATAATAATACATATAGTGGAGTTAAGTTTGAAAAGATTTTTATGAAATAAAAATACTTACCAACAATGTGATCTGACAAATCAGAAGGAATAGTAGGTTCTTTCTTCTTGCATAAAGCTATGTAACGTCTCATCAGACTCATATCCAGTGGTTCAATGTGTGTTGGAGGCTGCTTGGAATGTCTGTGAACGTATGTTATGTGATGGGCCAGCCTAGAAATTTATCATAAAATAAATGAAATCAATCACTCACATTACTTTGTTGCAAAAATTACAACACTAGTTAAAACTTTTTTGCAGACCTCAAATCATTGTCACGGTCAGCTTTATCCTGAATCAACCACAGCAAGTCAAAACGGGAAAGCAAAGCAGCTGGCAATTGAATGTTCTGCTCAATTGTTCTTTTAGGATTGTAACGCCCATACGCAGGGTTTGCTGCAGCTAGAATGCTTACTCTGGCATTGAGTGTGGTCATAATACCAGCCTTTTAGCACAAAAAGAAAATGTGTAAGCTAAAGATTTATGGTGCAGGGGTCAAGGTTGAAGATCACGATAAAAAAAGTAAGATAATCTTCATACCTTTGCAATTGATATAGTCTGCTGTTCCATCACTTCATGGATAGCAGTTCTGTCTGCATCAGCCATTTTATCAAACTCGTCAATACAACAAATACCTTGATCAGCAAGAACTAGAGCTCCGCCCTCCAGCATCATTTCACCAGTCAAAGGATCTTTCATTACTGCAGCGGTGAGACCAACACCTGATGAACCTCTTCCAGTTGTGTATTGACCTGAGAAAAATATTTTGCTTAGTAAAAAATGTACATTTTGGTATTGGTATAATGTACTTTTGACAAGGATGCTGAAGAAATAACGTACTTCTTGGAGCCAGACGATCAATGTATGACAGAAGTTGAGATTTAGCCACACCAGGATCACCCATCAAACAGATGTTGATTGACCCTTGAAAATGGAAAAAGTATTATAGCATTGAGCAATTAATAAATGAGATTTAAAAATAAAATTGTTCCAGATATTTGGGTTTACCTCTGATCTTCATGCCATCTGGGCGTCTATCAACACCACCAACCAAAAGTAATAGAAGAGCTTTTTTAACATCTTCATGACCATAGATTTCAGGAGCAATGCTAGTGGCTAACTTGGTATAAAAGTCTTCATCAATAAGTTTCTGAACTTCCTCTTCAGTCATCTCACCAGGCTGATCAATTTCATCTTGGCTTTTGTTTACAATTGCCACTTTCTAAAAGCAAGATATACACAATAAGGATTTTGTATGCAATGCATTAACTAATAACAAAGGTATTTTACTTACGTGAGCTTCTAGGTAGGTTTCTGACAACAGGCCTTGAGCTATTTGACGGAAACCTGACTTTAGCAGTGGCAAGAACACACCTGTGATGGCAACATGGTCACCAGGAATGGCCTGCCTAGTTATCTCTCCACGACAGAAAACTGTTAAACTTCTGGGTATATTGCCAACAGGAACTTGATCACTCTGACAATGAAATTTTAAAAAAATGTTACAATAGATTCAACAGTATTATAATCATGCATACAAATAAACTTACATGTTCTTGGATTTTGAGTTCCTGAAATTTGATAAACTTGGAACCACGTGTCTGTAAGTACAGTCTTCCACCAGCTTTATTAACTCTGCAGTCATCACTTGGACACATTTGCTCTGGCATGAAGGAAAGAGAACCAACTGGCTGGTAAGTTTCAGCACCACATTGGTCGCAGGTATATGTTGCTACTTGCATCATGGGTTTCACTTCAGTGCAGCGAGTCACAATACCACGGACTGATACAAGTTTACCAATATGCTCAGCTTTTACCATTCGGACTGGAGTGCATTTCATACTGGATGGTTCTTTAAAGTAAATTTCACTGGAATAAACATAGATATTTAAATAAAATTGTAGTTAATGCCTGTGATAATAAAAATATTAGGTCCATACTCACAATCTTCGCATGAGTTCAGGAGGGTACTTATTTTGAGGATTGCGTTGTTCCCCAGGACGTCTATTACGCTGCTCCATAAGAATGCGGTGTTCAATGTACACATCCAACGTATCCTTGTCAGCAATTTCCTTCTCCTTGAACAAGGGAAGCAGCTCTGATACAACATCACCAACAAGTTGAGAGTAGCGCCGGGTGTTGTCAATTACAGAAGCTGCCAAGTCAGAGTCAAAATCTTCAAGATCATCCAGATCAATAGTGAGGGACACCTAGAAAATTGAGGCAGGCAAATGCGTTAAGGGGTGACATACTGATGACCAGGAGAGCTCGAGAGAGGTTGTAATTTCAAGTCATTTAGGGGCAAAAATACTCACTTGTTCTCGGTGAGCCAAATTAGTGAGTTGTGTTGCGTACTTAAACTGCTTTCTTCCTTCATCATCTTGGGTACAAAATTCCTTGAGAAACTGTTTCAGTTTTTCTGCAAATTGCATTCAGCAGACATAGTCAGATGAGCTCATATAACATGGTTAACAAATCCCCAGAGATTTCTCACACAAACCTTTGTCGGCGTCATAATCTCGGGTTTTGGTCGACATTTTCAAGAGAACCAAATGCGCTTTCAACTTCTTCCAAGTATAAAAATGAATAGAAAGATGCTGGCGCGCGTACAACAGGCTTTGTGGTGGTCTGAAATGTTGTTTTGGCGCGGAAATTTTGATTCGACTGTCAGCTGTTTGCCCACAGCCTGTTCTTTCACGGTATCTTTGTGTTTTCAGCATGTTTCAGTAGTTCCGCTTCCCCATTCGCTTGGCGCCAATTTTGAAATGTTGCATGGTGATGGAATGGTTCAAAAGGTTCAATGGTAGCCTGGCTAACTTCCAGAAGAGGCCACAAAACTAAGAAGATCTCTCTCTCAATGGTTGTGAATGGTTGAGTCAAGGTTGAGTCTTGAGGAAATGCTTTTCTCAATGTTGAGTGGTCGCCGAGAAGAATAATGACAATATTTGTTATTAAAACTCAAGAGGTGTGCTTGAAGGAGGGTACAAAGTAAAAAATATTGGAACAAATGGATTTGGTCAAATTCAATATATTAAGACAAAATATCATTAAATAATATACTCAGTAAACATTAACTCTATTTGCTATGCACAGCACATCGATTAGAAACCAAATGATGTGAAAACCCCATCAGTCACAATAAAACTTCCAGATGTCCCCTTGGAACTTATTTAAAGGGTAGGAAATTTTAACAAAATAGTTTTACTGAACAATGCCATAAGAATGACTGGTACAACAAATCATGAGAATTCATTAGATTTGAGGTAGGGAATCACAATAAAAACAGACAAACTTGAGATAGACAAGTTCAATTTCATTTCATAAAAAAGATGTTGCTTATGTTTACTTATTTACCTTGTGCACTACATATAAACAAAAGCAACTATAGTTAAAATGTTACCAGATGCCAACAGTTTCATGGAATGTTAACAAGAAACAGGAACTTAACACTTTTCATGAACATGTGTGATTGACAAGTCACAATAATCAATAATGTAGCAAGCTTTGCCCTATTTTTCAAACCCTGCCAATTAGGTGCTACCAACAAATGTAAAGACAGATCTCTTTGTTACATTTATAAAGGCTGAAAAAGTGGATAACAACCTTCCAATGTGCATGTGAGACAGTGCACTATATGGAGACAGAAAAACACACTGCAAAACTATACAAGCTGTGCCATAAACTTGCTACCCTTTTAATTGTTTTAACACATTGCAGCCTAAGAAATCATAATCTCGTATTGATTTCACAAAGCAAAGGTATCAAGCATCAATTGTAAGATTAATTGGCCTGAATGAAGAACAACAGACTCCCTCTGACCACATATGATTATTGTCTGGTAATTGTCTTGGTATGATTTAACGCTAAAAATTGTAAACATATGTAGCAAGAAATCTGCCAAAGTAATGTTTGTACTGAATATGAAACCCTAAATGGTCCACAATAGGAACAAATGTACAACCAGACATATTTTACTGAACATAGCTGCATAATTAAAGACCGTAAATTTATCTGCAAAATGATTATATGTCTAAGTAGATACAAGTTATGACCACCTTCCTTTTATCTATGGTCATAAGAACATTTCTAAATAGGCAGAATACACATTGGCTACGATGCGCTATGTACCCAACACTGCCTACCAGTCAAGACTTGAGATACGCCATTTACAAATTTTGTGCAAAGGATTCAATCTAACAGTAGGCTCAACTGCTCAAGAGAATAGGTTACTAATCATATTAAAAACCGATCTCTAAAAAGACAAATGAAAACAGGAATAGGAAAGTTTGTTTTCATCACAATATGATGAGAGAATCATCAGACGAATAAATATAAAATTTTGCATCCAATAGATGGATCATTTTACAGTACTGACAATTTAGGCTTTTGACTGGTTTGCCAAAGCTTCATGTAAAACCATTATAAAACAATGGATTAGATAAAGGCATATAAAACTCCCTGCATTTATTTATAACAATCAATCATTGTTAACAATACTAGACAATGGTAATATATCAGCAATGACTATTTCTCAAAATCTTCTATGAACTTCAATTCATCATTTTTAAAAAGAATTTCCTTTAAACTATTATCATATACCACCTGTGGGTGCTTCATCATCTGAGTAGTCATCTGAAAGAGCAGCTGAGGAACGACTACGACTTGATCCAGCAGAAAATTCAAGACGGCATGCTTTGGGAGGAGGAGGGCTGCAGAAGAGGAAAGGCCAATTGAAATAAGAACTTTAAACCAATTCTATCATTTTTGGAAACTTATTGAAAATTGAAACCAACAATAAGGAAATAAGACACCAGTACTATAAAAGACACCCACCAAGCTTCATCCCCACTTGTGGAATTGTCATCACCTCTTGCTGGGCTTGATGGTGGGGATAGAGCCTGCATCAGCCTTCCTTTTCCTTCATTCCAAATATGTGACTGAAAAAAAGTTATCATTACTTTGGAACTTGATAAAAAAGCAGTGAAAAAATGTACAGATATTTTGACATACCAATCTGCCTTCCCTTCCAAACAGTAAAAGAAAAGTATCAATAAAATCTCTGGACTTCTCTTCCCATTTTTGAATCATATCAATACGTTTTTCTCCAATATTTTCCATGACACGCTTCCCCTTATCCTTCAGTTCATCCATTTTATTTTGAAGACGGAACTTTTTTTCCTAGATTTTGATATTGGGAAAAATAGATAGATTACAACGAAAACCAAGAGACTTTTTTCTTTTGGTAAAATATACATACATTTAAAAAGGAGACATTGAGCTCTTTGGCACTGTAACCACGAGCCAAATTTCGCCTGACATAAACATCATAGTCACGGACAATTCTTGCAACAATATCTGAAGTAGATACACCTTCAGTCCTTTCTGTAGCCACAAACATGCCCCTTTCCTTTAAAAGGCTATAAACATCTGTGCAATCTTCTGTGACATAGGGAATGTCATCATGAGCAACAAAATCAATCTAAAAAAGGAAAAGTTAGTTTAGTAGTTTTGCATTGCCTTCCCCTCTTATACCCCCTTTTCTAGGATGAAAAATACCTTGTGCTTATTCAGAAATTCATCATCCAATTCCCATGGAGAATCTCTAACAATTTCATCTACATATCGGCAGTGTCGGACAGCTTCAAATCTTTCCTCCTCAGTCATAACTGTACGACCCTTTTTAGTGTGTGTTTGTGCATCTCCATTGACTGAAAATATAAGCTTTAATGTTAAACTATTTCAGTGGGCAAAAACTAGATAAAAGCAGTATTGTACAACCACTGTCACCTTACCACCAACTATAAGATAGACATTGGAAAATAAATTTTTGGCTTGTAAAAGTTGTCTTGCATGCCCCTGATGGAATAGATCATAAATTCCATCAGAAAAAACTCTAATAGGCCTAGGGGCTGTAATGAACAGGGGTACATTTGATAAAATTTGTAGAGATAGAGTAAAATACTATCATGGATGTTGTTGACATGGCACTCACCATTACCAGCCTTTGCTTGTTTTAAGGTAATTCGTACACTATAATCCACTTTTTCTCTGATGGCTATAGCTTCTGGATCATCACTAAATGGTGCCATACTTCGGACAGACTGCAAAAATAAATAAGAGCATCAATCTATCACAGACCAACTGCAAAATTATAAAAAATGACACGATTTAAGGGTGAAATAATATGTCTGCAGCATGCCACAAAGACAAAGTTAGACTTACACTTATCCCGAACTGTCCATTAGGTGATGTGTGGTTGGACTCTGTTTGGCAGTCAGTGGACGTAATGCTGGCCTCTTCTTCACGCATTCTTTTCCTTGACATTATACTAAGTCTCTTCTTTACTGATTGAGTTGCCTCTCTAGAAGCAACTGATTTTAGAGGGAAAAGATATTATACAAAAACATGATACATTAATTTATATTTTTACAGAATTTAAATGAGAAGTTTCTCGTTCCATTTGTTAGTTGGAAAGAAATAGGAAAAGATGTTCCTGATCTCAGAAAAAAATATATTTCTGGCATCAACGTGACAATATAGCTACGTAAAGACACACCAGTCAAACACTAGTGTCAATAAAATTG